TGCTCACTGACGGTATACATCTCTTGCTAGTACACACATATGTGTGTGTGCAGTAATTTAATACATAAACTAGAGCCATGGGGTATTGTGTGTGTGTATTATTGGAGACTCTCTGTGTGCACCTGGGCTTGCACTGTGATGATGATGATGATGAACTGCTTTTTTACACTGGGAAAAAGGAAATAATAATAACAGATGAATTTATATTTATAATTGCGTATATATACACATATATAGACTTACTCCCATATTTGGTGTATTTCTGTGTTTACTTGGTAATTTGGGCTAATGATAAATATGTGTTTGTTTGCTTGATGATTTTGCTGGGTCGCTGAGCCTTTTTTGAAATATTTGTGAGTGTGGGCTTTTTTTTTTGTTTTTACTATTACTGAGGTTATTGCGCTTTGTTTCATAACTTAACTGGTAGGTTTTACTTTCACGATGTGAGTTTCCATAGTGGTAATCGATTTGTGTGTCCTAACATGTTTGATACTTCATTTATTTTCTACTCTTTTTTGATTCTCTTTCTTTCTAGATCAGTGTTTTTACGTGAAACAAACCCTTGTCTCTCTCATGATGATGATGATGCACCGTGTGATGTGTGTGTTGGCCGTTGTGCTGTGCTGTGCCTGCGGGTATACCATGGCGGCTGCTGCTGCTGTTGATAATGACAGTCCCAGTGGCCGTGGTGTATCCCGTGGGGCTGTGGAGGTGTCGTGCGGGGCCGGCGGTGCGCTGCGTGTACGCCCCGCTGCTGAGAGCGAGTGGCTTACATGCGGTGCGGGCAGCCGTGTGTCTGCATGTGGGAAGTACGCAGACCTCTGCCGCCAGCGTACGGGAAGAACAGCAACAGCAAGAACAACAACCATTCCTACTACTACTACTAATGGACAGCCAAAGGCGGTGATAGTGTCCCTTGGTTTTGATTTTCCTTCACCCACTCTAAAAGATGAAGACTTTAAAGAAGATGAACGTCCAGATGTAGGGCAATCTAACACGCTGGGTGTGGTAAAAGGACGTGAAGCTGGACGTGACCATATAAACACCAAATCGCAAGGAGATGGTGCTTTGCACACACAAGATGACGAACTGGTGCGAACGTCTTTAAAGGAACGTGAAGATGCTCTTGCTCGTAGCAGTGGAGTAATGCCTGTTCCGAATAGACCGTTGGAAGGAGGTGGTGATAATAATACTGTCACCTCCAATGAAGTTGTAAATTCACATATTCAACAGCAACAACACCTGCAACAACCATCATTGGATGTTAGTGGTGACGCTGGAAGGTCTGATGCATCTACCATTCTAGAGGAAAATAATAGGTCTCCAGGTGGGATTAGTCGAGACGCTGCAGCACATTCTGCAAGTTCACCCGCAGCACCTGGGAATGCAGGAAGTACGTTATCACCTGATGCTGCACAACAAAAGAATGCACAACAAGCGACACCTAATGCAGAGACAACACTATTATCAACAACTGAGACACAATCAACTGAAGGTATTGATTCCAATCAAGGAACTCAACGTGCTGAGTCTGAAAGTTCCACGGAAGGTAATTATGGCAGTACCAGTAACCACCAGCCTGCCACAACCATTTCACAAGAGAATGGCAATCTTGCATCACCGGCCACGACTAACACCAACATCGATACATCAACCACATCTCCTGCACCTCTATCCGACCCACATCTCAGCAGCAACATCACCTCCACCGTACTGAAGAAGGCTAATGTTGACAGCAGTATCAATCCTGTGTGGATGCGCACCGCAGCACCGCTTCTGATTGTGGCTGTGATGTTCTCCGCTACCCTGTAATGAGCGGTGGGACTCATCTGAGGGCAAATAATAATAATAATGGTAATCCTAACATAATCATAATTGCGTACATCCCCCTATGGGTGAATAAACTAATAATCTGTTTACCAGCTTTTTCTTTTCATTCGAATTTCTTTTCTTTTGCTTTTGTATGTTGGTTGTTTTAATTCCATTACTTGCTTTTCCCGTTGTGTGAGTGGAGTAAACTGGGCTGTTCTGCTCATTGACGGCATACTTTTATTCTAAGTGCACATGTTATGTACAACAATTTAATATATAGAGACATGGGGTATTGTGTGTGTTCGTGTAGACTCTCTCTATGTGTGTGC